ACCTTGTGTTTTGGGATTATCCAAAAAAGATTTCCAGCCACAATCTCAACCCAAATCCAGTTCCTTATTTGGGGCTAAATATGTAGCATAAAGACCTGGGGGCCTGTGAGTTGGCAGCCTGGTACTCACAAACTGAGCTTTGGGCTCAGCAGGATTCTGCCAGGGCTTGTTCAGAAGAGTCCCCTGGGAGTAGAGACATGTGCTTTGCGGTGACTTGACAAGGATTTCTACCCATAATCCTAGGTGATACCCAGATCTTTATTCAGGCCCAGGGGCCTGCAAGTTGGCAGCCTGGCACACAGAAACCGAGCTCTGGGTCAAACAAGACTCTGCCCAGACTTCTTTGAGTGATTCTTTTTGGTGGCAGTTGCTTGTGCTCTGGAGTGACCCAAAAAAAGATTTTCACCCGAAGTCCTAGCTCAAACGCAATTCCTTATGTAGTATGAACTGAACTAATGTAGTTGATGTTAACATAGATTACGATAGTAGTGAAATAGTGGATTTATAACCATGTTAGTCTTATCCTATAAGTAACTTGAAAACTCCATTTTGTATTCTCTTGCTTGACGTAAGTGTATGATCTTTTGTGTATGAGGATGTGACAAGGATAAATGGTGAGAGAATGGCATAGAGACAGAAAAGAAAGATGTAACTGTTTGTGTAAGCAACAAGGCACCAAATGTGTAAGGTACCAGTAAGTAAACTAATTAATTGATGGCTAAAGAATCCCTTTAGATAACCAAGAGGAGGAATGTGCACATCCTGCCAGATGTGTAGCAAGTACACTTCAAGGCTGAGATAGCAACTTCTACAACCAAACTGATCTCGGGCTGAGATAAGCAGAAGATGGATGAGAAACAACTGCAAAAACAGAAATTGGGTATGGAAAAACCCCAAAGTGCTGAACAAAGAATGCCAATCCCTATAAAAGAGGACTCTGGAAAATGCCAGGTTGGGTGAGCCTCTCTCTGCTGCTTTCTTCGGAGCATAGATGCGTCTGTTCACCCCACTCCAGCTGCTGTCTTCATCTTCCTCTCAGCAGGCCTCGGCTGGCCACCCAGTGCTACTATTGAGCAACTGCTGCTGGTAACTATAACATCTGAATGGAATGGCTGTTTTGTGTATGTGTATGTCTGAGTGTAACAATGTGTATGATGATATGTGTATGTTTGTATTAATGTTGTGTCTGACCTTCCACGTCTCATTTATGTAATCAACAAAAGCAGCATTTTGCCTTATCCCCCTTTATAAGGTCTCTCTCTTGATTTGATTAAATTGAAACGATACGTAACACTTATTTAGTGTCATACACATAGCACACAAGTTTAGACAGGTTCTCATCAGTGAGCAGACTGGCAGGCAAAAAAACCAAGCTTTGGTTCGAGCACCACCCTACTTAGGCTTATTCAGAAGTGTCCCCTGGTGACATAAATATGTGTTTTGCGGTAACCCAAACAGGATTTTGCCCCACAATCCCAGCCTAATCTCAAGTCTTTTTTCACAGCTATGTACTCCATACATATTTTAAATTTTTATTAGTAAATATACATTTTTGATAGGGCCGTCAATCGCAATTAACACGCTAATTGTTGTTCAAGTTAATTTTTGTAACACATTAATTGGACACGTGGTTTTCAACGTTGCACGGGGGGCCGATTGAGGCCCCCATGGTGAAGGAGGGAATGGGGCAGGGGAAGGGCGGGTCATGGGACAGAGCTGCAGCTCATCCAAGGATGCAGTGGGGGGATGCTCCCACCACTGCATGCACCCCCAAGGGGAGGCACAGGGGACACATGCCCCCCAGATTTGTGCACAGGGAAGAGGCAAGCTGCCACTGTGGACTGCAGCCCCAGGAGTCACATGCTAGCTGTGCTGTGTCCCCTACCCATCCAGCAGTGGGAGGCACAGCATGGCATCGCACAGCTCCCAAGGCCAAGGCAGTGGGGCTCAGAGCCCAGCACACAGCAGCAGCCCACTTCTGCCCAATGCACAAATCCAGGGGACATGTGCCTCCTCTGCCTGCCCCTGGGGGTACACACAGCTGCAGGAGCAGTCCCCACATCCCTCTGGATGAGCCAGCCACAGCTCCATCCCATAACCCGCCCCAGCTCCTGCCCCATTCCCTCCCACACCATGGGGGCCTTGATCTGCCCCCTGCCCCTTCCCTCCTTCTCCACAGACTTACCTTCTGAGTGGTGTCTGTCTGTGCCTGTGTGCATGTCTGCCCTTCACTCCCAAGCCACAGCCTCCCCAGCCCTGCTGCTGCCCCTGACTCCTGACCCACAGTACCTCACATCCTGCCAGGATATTCAGGAACCCCCCCTCCCAAGAGTCCAACCCCACCCCCACAGCCCCCCACACTCCACAAATTCCTTCTCCCCCCACACACCCCAACCATACAAAGTTCCTGCATAATTCTGCATAACTCTGAATTTTCTGCACATAATTGAGTTTTTAGCTCTGTGATTAAAATTGCGATTAATTGCAACTATAATTTTTTAAATCACGCAACTAATTGCAATCAGATTTTTTAATCGTTTGACAATCCTAACTTTTGATGATATCCTAACTCTTTAGCCTGTGTTATTCATTACTAACAACCTTTATTTGTGTAAGGATTAGCTTTGAAAAAGGAACCAGGAATAAAAGAACCAGGAGTGAGAAACCAACTTCAGCCTCATGTTTTGATGATTTCTATTTATTCTTCTGGACACTTGAAATGTCACCTATAATCCCCAAATCCTTTTTGCACAGATTGCTGCTGAAGACAAGAAAGTTGCCCACTAGCTAAAAATATAAGAATTTTCCAAATTTACTTACCAACCACAGAGTTTAACAACTCTAAAATGTTATACAAGTAATACTTGAGCAGAGCACTAAATCAGACATAACTAACAGGATTACATGACAGCATAAACAAAAGGTTTCTCATATTAACCACAGCACATACTGTTTGCAGGTTATCAGAAATAAGATTAAATAAGGAGAGTCACTAAAATTCCAACTAAAGAGAAAAGGTATTGCAAGAGGAAACTACATACAAGTTTCAAAGTATTATAGCATCAAGAAAACTAAATCAAAGATTTACCGTACAGCAAAAGTTCATTACTGGTGCAACTATCAAGTGTAACAGGGTTGCACTCCAGGGGTGGCTGTGATGCCCCTCAAGCCCCCTCCGCCCATGCCTCCTTGACCTTCTCTTGACAAACTCCCTTTCACCTCACCTTGATGAAATGATACTTTTAGGAAAGGGAAGCTTCCCAAGGGCTTCCCAAGCCTGATTTCACCCTCATGACCACAGGTGTCCATGGTCATTGCTTTAAGGACCAATTATGTAGCTCTGACTGCTCCTTTGCACCACGCCCTTACCTCACAGATGATATGCTGAAACATGCCCTTCCTGGACTAGAGACTCCCAGCCGCAGTCCTTGCCCCTCCTGGGCTATAGGCTCCTTAGTCCCCTCAGTCTCCAGCTGTGAGCTCCAGTCTCTGGACCCTCTCTCTTGGCCCTAGCCCCACTCCTAGGCCAGGTAAGACTCCTGGGCTCCTCTGCCCCACCAGTCACCAGCTGTGGCCCTGCTCAGCCTTTGGCCCCTAGACCAGAGAAACCTTTGGGTTCCTCTGGCCTTTCTGAGGCTCAGCCCTCCTAAGCTTCAGACCTCTGGGCTCTCTGGCCCTGCTGATACTTGGCCCTCTCTCTAGGCTCTGGCTCCACACTCTGCTCTCTGGCCCTCATGCTCTACCCTATCACCAGGCTCCGGCCTTACTTCCAGACATCTGACCCTCTCTCAGGCCTGCTGGGACCTCCTCCACCACTTAGTCCCTTCCACAAAGCACTAGCATTGCTTACTGCAGCTCAGATGTTACCCAGGAGCCCTGCTGCAGCCCCACTGCCAGGAGGACCTCTCCCTGAAACGCTCAGGGCAAGCCTGCCTGACCCCAGACTTATATGGCTCAAGCCAGGCCCCCTCTGGGTCAGGTGTCTCCTTAATTGGTCCCTACCACCTGCCTGCTGCTTCTCCCTCAGCTTTTCCTCTTCAGGTGACAGGCACACTAAGCACTCCGTCACGCAAAGTGCAATAAACCCTGCACAGAAAAATACTGTCAGAATGCCTGTGAATTTTTTCTGTGCTTATCACAAATATCATGGGCCACAGCTCATCTTCAGGTGTACCCATGCAATTCAAGGACTTCCGTAAGAGCTGTAGGTGTACCTCCAGGGCAGAATTCAACCTCGAGTTACCAGGAAACACTTCTAGGTTCAGATTTTCTTGGCTCACTCTTATATCTGAAAAACCATCTCCATCAACATTCCTAGGGCTCACTCAGACACTGAACAGGAGGGGACAATGTTCAGTAGCAAAGAGCTGGAGGAAACAGGGTGATCTAGCTGAAGTAGCAAAGTTTATTCTACTGCTCAGTCACAACTGCTGACGGCCCAGGCTCACTGACTGGAACATCCAGTTTTGAATCTCTTATTGCTTTCACTAAACAATGTATGCACAAAACATAATAAATCAGTAGTGCTCGACCTCCCACCATAGTCTGGCTCACAAGGCCACATCATCTGGTCTGTGGGTCTCTTCATGGGTTTAGAAATTTGGTGGCAGCTCCACTGACACCAAATTTCCAGACCCATGGATAACCCTTCAGGCTGAATGATGTAGCCATACATATTAAATCATGTCAGTGCACAGTGGGGCTGATGTAGAGGGATCATTCTACAGATGAATTCAGTAACCAGAACTGGGCTCACGTGCTAGATCGCACTTGCAGACCAACCCCACATGTCCACCACGTACTGGATCTGGCCTGCAAACCAGCCCTGTGCCACTTATCCAGCCTACAAAGCCAGAAGGTTGAGCACTGCTGGAATAAGTAACAGAATAGTACATTTACTGCAGCTGGGGGACTAACAAGTTCAGATGATATTTATAAAACTTAATACATTCAGCTGGATACCAACTTCACAGATAGTTGACATTTGGAAGTACCTTGGCCACTTGAAAAAACAGCAAGTTTCTTAGAGAAGTCCACCATAAAAGCTCATGTACAAGCATGACTTAATGGACACCAATGTAAGAGGATCCCTACCCCTGTTACTGAAAGGAAGAGAGCAGAACAGAGGTAGCCAGCAGAGCAAGTGCTGCTTGCAGAGAGCCTGACAGCAAGGAACAGCAGGTAAGAGGGGCAGAAGCATGAGAACAGAACTCTCCTGAAAGAGGAGGAACCTGAGTTCATTAGAAGAGGAGAATCTTCTGCCTGCTGAAAGCAAGTGTACCGAAGGGGTGAGGATTTGATTGAGAACTGTTTATGTTTACCGGGGAGGGGAGTGTTGTTGAGGACAGTTTATGTGCCCAGTGAAGTTCTGTTTTTGTTTATATCCCCCACAGGCCTGGAAACAACAGGAAAGAGGGGTCAGGGGCTGCACAGCAGAATGCAGAATGCTCTGCAAATTGTAGAGTTTTTTTCTTTTTGGCTTTTTCCTGAGAGGAACAAACCAGAGAGGAGAAGGGCTAGAGACAAAGTTGATGCCTTACCACAGAGCTGAGGCCTGGATCCAAGAAAGAGGAAGCTGCTGAACAAAGATGTGAGGAGGCGTGGCTGAAGCCCAGGCCAGGATCAGGGACCTGGGGCCTGAAGCGAGGATGGTCAGGAGACCAGATAAACACAGATTGAGTAAAACCTGTGAGGCTATGGGGGTGGCTGGAGGCCACAATTCTTGCCCTTAAGGTGACTATGGCATGTAAGGCCAGGATTACAATTGCTAGGGTAAAAAACAGTAGAGGTGGCAGCAGACTTAGCATTGGACTCCCCTTTTCTGACACGAGACAACCTCTTCCAGATGCTTTGTTTCCACCAAGGCAGGGCACGTAATTGAAAGGAGGAAAGGATCATAAGGGAACTGGAGCAGTACAGCATTAGCCTGCAGGTAAACCCGTCAAATCCACCTTCCAGGTGGGTTCAGTCACAACCAGATGCAAAACGATACATGGTAGGGCAGTAGTCACCAACCAGTCAATTGCTATCGACCGCAAAGCCTCTGACAGTTGATCTCAGTCTGCGGGGGCTGAGATAGAGCCAAGGCAGTACACAAGGTAGGTACCAATCGGAGCCCAAGTGGTACACAAAGGTAGTTACTGATTGGAGCCTGGGCAGCTCATCCAGGCACGGGGGACTCCTGCCGCTACACGCACCCTGGTGAAGGCCCCCCCAACCTGTGCACAAGGTGGAGGCGGCTGCCGCCACACTCTGAGCTTTGTGCCCCAAGCCCCACTGCAGCTGCCCTGGGAGCACTGTGACACCACATGCATCCCCCCACCCTTACTCCTTGCAGGTGACGTTGGCAGCAGCACATGGGGGAGCAGGCTTGGGCCACGGGAGGGACGAGACCACAGCTCTGGCCTTGACCCACCCCTCCCACCTACCATAGTCACCACCTGCAGGGCCCAACATGGGAAGAAGAGATGGTGGGGGGGGGGGGAGGACTGAGCCCGACAGGTTGGGGGAAGAGTGGTTGCGCTGCAGCGGCAGTGGGGGGAGGAGAGAAGTGGGCCTGGGCCCCACATGGTGGGGAGGGGGGAGAAGGACCAAGCCCAAGCCAAGGGAGAAGCCGCCCTGCTGTTGCAGGGGAAGCAGTGGGCCCAGGCCAACCCAGCAGCAGCAGGGAAATGGAAGGAGGGGGCTCAGAGTCAACAGGGAGGGAGGAAGGGGTGGGGAGGAGTGGACCTGGGCCCAAGGGCAGGGAGGAGGCTCGCCCCTCCCCTCCCCCAGCCACTGCCATGTCAGACCAAGCCCACTGCTCCCCCCCACCACTGCGGTGGGCTGGCTTTTCCTCTGGCTTGGGCTTGGACGTCCTCCCCTCCCTCAGGCCCAGGCCCACTCCTCCCCCACCTCCCCGCATCAGCTCTGAGCCCGCTTCTCCCATTCTGCCACTGCCACCAGGTCGGCCCAGGCCTGCTGCTCCCCCCACCATAGCGGGCCAGCTTCTCCCCACCCTCAGGCCCGGTCCTCCCCCACATCAGGCCCAGGCCCACTTCTCCCCACCCCTGCCACTGCAACAGGGAGGTGGGGAGCAGGCCCAGGCCCCAAGGAGCAGGAGGTAAAGGGGGAGCGGGCCCAGGGGCACAGGGCTCTGTCTTTGCACGCTCCCCCTCCCCCCCAGTCATTCCTGACAGGCAATTTGCTAGTACTGTTCTTAACTGCATAATACAATACTAGTCCCAATCTGTTACTTATTACTTGAACTTTAACAAACACCGCTGATCTTCATGGCAGTTAAGATGCATAAACTGCTGAAGCAAATTTGCTTCATAGTAACCTATATTCTCTCTTTGCCTACATAATTGGTGAAACTAACTAGAAGCCATCGTTTTCAACAGCCCTGAACTGAAGAAGGATTTGCTTTTACTGCAGCAGTAGCGTATCCAGCACCAGGAGTAAGTAAGTATGCTGCCACCACCTGAACCCACAAACTAATTCCAAACCAGAAATACATCAGTGATGCTGCTCCAGACTCATTCCCTGTGACTGGTCTTGAGCCCTCACTCTCCAGCATGCCTGAGAGCAAGCACTGGGGACTGAGGAGCTGCCTCACTGGTGAACTTCTGGATCTGAAATGTGGCTGTTGACTCATCTAGTTGGGTCATGCTCAGGACCTGCCCCTCAGTACTAGGACAGGCTGCTATCAAGGTAAAGAAAAGCCCTACGTCCTTGCCATTTCAAGGCTGCTATTACAGGCAAAAGGTTCTCCAAGAGTGCAGACAGATGTTTAATAAAGGAAACATTTCAGTCAGGGGACATGCATACCCCTGTGTGTTGCTCCTGGCCAGAACATCTCAAAATGCTGCAGCCTTCTCTAGTGCCAGCCAGGTTCTAAAGGATACTGTAGTTACCTCCAGCTCTGTTCTTTGCTTCCCCCTCCCTTCACAGGTAATGGAGAGGGGAGAAAAAAGAGCCTAGACTGCTAAGAGGGGTCAAGCAGGGATGGGAGGAGTTGGGGAAGTGGGGGGAAAATGTTCCCAAGCTCCAGAGCCTGACACTCCAGCTCCAATCCCTTCTACGTCTCCTCTCTCCCCAGCCAAGCAGAGGGAGAGGGGCAGAAGCCTATAAGTTGGAAGTCTTGTGGCGGTAAAGAGAGTGGTATGACCAGCACCAACAGCAGTGGGGGTCCCCATGGGGACCCAGTGACTGAACAGATGGAAAACTGTCATGCATACATAACCACAGTGAAACACTAAAACAGTGCTTCATTTAAAGTACTATTTTGGAGCATTTCACCCACTTCTGGAATGTTTCAAAGTGCTTGCACATTTGTCCAACTGGCCCTTTGAGACCTTTTAAAGGTATTTGAAACATTGTAATTGTTACATCTGATCACACCCTGAAAACCAGGTAAGGAGCCCTAAAAAGGTGCAAAAAGCTTAGCAATGGCTATTCCTGTAGTAAATGAACATTGCTTATTTTGAGTAACAGCTTTTTTCAATCCCAAGATCATACACTTAAAACAGAGCACACTGTATCAACAAATCATACCAGTATATAAAATTTACTGTTTTTACTGGGCAGTGAAAAGCCACTATGAAGTAAAATTAACAACATTCTAAAGATTAAGTTCAAACTACTGTTGTCATTATGAACAGCTTCTTTAGTATATTCAGATGCTTTAAACCTTACCGCTTTTTTTTTTGAAAGCAGAGCTGACAAATAGCAGAGGTGTGTGTACTTCTTCCTCTGAGGAACCCCCATGGCTACCAGTTTCAGACATCCCATGGTCACCGCACACAACAAGTAAGTTAGGCAAAGAAGCCTCTCCTTCCTGCAACTCGCACAAAAAAAGACTTCAATTGTATTAAAGCAAAAACTATGCACACATTTAGAATTCTACTGCTTTTACCATTATAAAATATGAATACTTCCTGCAGGGATTCACATTTTTAAAATGGCACACCATCTTCACAGCACACTGGCTAAGATGCACTGTATTTTACTAAAATCTAAGACAGCCCTCCCCCGATGTTCCCTTCTCCCCCCTTACCATCACGCACAGGCTAGCTCTGCCTCAGGCTGGTGTTCCTCCACGGCATGGAGCACATGGAAACTCTGTTCCAGGCTCAGCCAATCAGCAGTGCTAACACTACTGCGTAGGCAACAGGGGCGGTGCTTCTAGGTGCTGTGCTCCAGGGAAGAAAGAGCCTGAACAGCATCAGCCAGTAGGGAAAGAGGGGGTGGGAAAGAAAAGGAGAGGCAAAGACTGGGGAGAGTAGGGAGGAAAGAGACTGGGGAGAGCAGGAGCATGGGGGTGCAAGTGGCAGGAAGGCTGCAGGGGGAACAAGTGGGGGAGCAGAGGGCAAGGGGGCTGCCTGACCCTGACCCCACCCACTGTTTTCCCTGCTCTGTAGCAGTGGGGAATGGGATTCAAGACAACCGTCCAATACTTGGATTCTATACCTGGAAAATTATAACAAATGTATACATTTTCCAAATACAGAATCTCATTATTGGGGTGTTGTCTTAAGTTAGGGTTACCATACATCTGCATTTTCCCAGACAGGTCCTCTTTTTTGGCGCCTCATCCTCATGTCCAGGCAGGTTTTTAAAATGAGAACAAATGTCCGGGTTTTTGCTTTGCCTCCACTTTTCCCAGGCATAAGCAGCTTGGATGTTTTAGGCTGGGAGCAGCAGGTAAGGTGATTGGCTATCAGGGATCATGGGCCCTGGCAAGTAAGAGAGAGACACAGAGAGAGAGAGAGAGAGAGAGAGAGATAAGCAGGCAGAGGGAGTGCATGTGTGTGCACGCACACACGCAAGCAGGAGCTGTATGGGCAGCAGGGCTGGGGGGACAATGGACTCTGGGTCAGGAATGAGGGCCAACAGCTGCGGGTCAGAAGCAAGGGCCACCAGCAGTGCTGGGGAGGGGAGGCAGATAGCTGTGGGCCAGGAGTAAAGGGCACTACCAGAGCTGCAGGGCAGCGGGCTGTGGGTTGGGAGTGAAGGGCAGGGCACAGGCATATCACTGCCCCCACCCAACAACCATATACCCCTCCTTCTCTCCTCCCCACAGCCCATGTTGTCTTCCTGCCCCCTCCCTCCCACAGGTGTCCTCTTTTTTGATCCTGGAAATATGGTAACCCTACTTAAAATCAAGGTCAATTTAAATTCAAGTAAATATGGTACACAGTAATTGTTAAATGCTATGCAGCCACACTTCAAGAATAACTACAGTAATTTCTCCTTCATTTTGAATCATAGATTGTAAAGCCGGAAGGGACCTTGGAAGATCATTGGATCCACCCCCTGCACCAAAACAGGAAAGATAACTGGAGGTCAGGTGACCCCAGCAAGTTGACTATCTAGGCTCCTCTTCAAGATTTCCAAGGTAGGTGATTGCACCACCTCTGGAAGGAGCTTATTCCACAGTCTGGACACTGACTGTGAAGAAGCTTTTCCTAAGGTTGAACCTAAATCGATCTTCCAGAAGTTTTCGCCCATTACCCCTAGTTTTCCCCTTGGGTGTCCTGGTGAACAGTTGCTCACCGAACCCTTGATGTATTCCCTTAGCGTAGTGATAAGCTGCTACTAGGTTCCCTCTCGGCCTTCTTTTCCTCAGGCTGAAGAGTCCCAGATCCCTCAGCCTTTCCTTGTATGGCTTGCCTTTTAAGACTCTGATCATACAAGTGGCTCTTCTTTGGACCCTCTCAAACTTGTCCATGTCCTTGTTAAAGTGTGATGCCCAGAACTGGACACAGGACTCCAGCTGCGATCTCACCAGTGCCAAGTAGAGCCGAAGAATCACCTCCTTGGTTTTGCTGGAGATGCATCAATTGACGCATGCCAGAGTATCATTTGCCTAACTGGCTACAGCATCTCACTGTCAGCTCATATTCATACCGTGGTCTATTATTACCCCCAGGTGCCTTCCATTCATGGTCCTGGTCAGTTTGGTGCCCCCAAGCCTGTAGGTGTGTTGGGGGTTGCTTGTCCCGCAGTGTAGCACTTTACATTTCTCGACATTGAACTTCATCAGATTCTGATCCGCCCAACTTGCTAGCTTGTCTAGGTCTGCCTGTATCTGTAGTCTATCTTCAAGCATAACCACACTCCCCATAACTTGGTGTCATCCACAAACTTAGCCAATGAGCTCTTCACCCCCACATCCAAATTATTAAAGATGTTGAAAAGTACTGAACCAGTAAAGGAACAGCTTCTATAGAGTCTGTTCTTTGTACAACCATAGATCTGGTTAAGCAGCTTCACTACAGAAACAGCTACATAGAAGTACTGTTGCTGTTGATGAGAACAGCTACTAAGCTAAAGATTCATGGCTCCATGAAAATAACCAAGTCAAGACTGGAGCTCTTGAGCCAACAATTTCTATAAAGAGGCTCTAATACAAATCAACAACTCTAACAAATACCAGAATCTCTCAAAGTGACCAGGCAGTTTAGGAGTAAAATTTATATTCTCCATTAAATAAACCCCTGATGTGCTTCTGTACCTATTAAGCAATATTAGTCATATCTAAATTTATGCATGGTTAGGGAGAAATTTTGCTTACAAACAAATATTAGCTAAACTTCTATTCCAGGGAAAATCCTAGAAACATTCATCAAAGAGGCTACATGTGACAAACTTGCAGAAGGCATGATACTGAACGATAGCCAGCATGGCTTCATCGCGGACAGGTCTTGTCTGACCAACCACATTTCTTTCTTCGATCAGGTGACTTGTCACCTGGATGAAAGAAAAGCAGTTGACATCATATACCCTGACTTCCAGAAAGCCTTTGACCTGGTATCCCACAAGGTACTGATCAGAAAACTGGAAGATATTGGGCTCAACTGCGGGACTGTCAAGTGAGTGCAAAACTGGTTGGATGCAGAGTCCAAATGAATGGATTGGTGTCGTCCTGGCAAGATTTGGGCAGCAGCGTACCCCAGGGGTCCGTATTTGGCCCAGTGCAGTTCAATATCTTCATCAACATACTGGATGAGGGGACGAAAAGCCCATTGGCCAAGTTTGCAGACAACACCAAGATATGGGGTTGTGCTGACACATCTGCAGATAGGCTGCAGATACAAGCAGACCTACACAGGCTGGTATGTTGGGCAGAACAGAACCAAATGAGGTTCAATGTAGAGAAATGCAAAGTGCTGTATCTGGGAAGAAGAACCCCCAGCACACCTACAGACTGGTCATCACTAACCTGACCAGCACTACAACTGAAAGGGATCCAGGGGTAACAATAGACCCCGGCATGAATATGAGCCAGCAATGCAATGCAGTACCCGCTAGGGCCAATAAAACTCTGGCATGCATCAATTGATGCATCTCCAGTAAATCCAAAGAAGTCATTCTCCCACTTTACTTAACATTGGTGCAGTCACAGCTGGAGTACTGCATCCAATTTTGGGTACTGCACTTCAACAAGGATGGGCTAAAGCTCGAGAGGGTCCAGAGAAGGGCTACCTGTATGATCAGGGACTTGCATGGCAAGCCATACGAGGAGAGGCTGAGGGATCTCAGACTCTTCAACCTAAAGAAAAGAAGGCTGAGAGGGGACCTGATTACGACTTACCACTATATGAGAGGCATACATCAGGGGCTCAGTGAACAACTATTCACCAGGGTGCCCTGGGGGAAAACTAGAAAAAACAGCCACAAACTCCTGGAAGATAGTTTCAGGATGAACATTAGGAAAAACTTCTTTACAACTAGGGTGTCCAGACTATGGAACAAGCCATCCCCAGAGGTGCTGCAATCATCTACCCTAAAGGTCTTCAAGAGAAGACTAAACAGTCACCTGGCTGACCTCAGATGTCTTTCCTGCTCATGCAAGGGGCTGGACCCGATGATCCTTCAGGGTCCCTTCCAGCCCTACGATTCTATGAAATGTTAGCAGGATGTATGTTTGAATTCTACAACTGCAATATAACACTTATTTTTAGGGGCGCACTGATAGAGAATTTTTGGGCCGATACCAATGGCCAATTTTTAACGAGTCATATAGGCCGATACTGATCCAGTTGCCAATATGCAGCCCAGCAGCTTGGAGAGCAGCATCTAGCTCAGGGGCGGGCAATTATTTTGGGCAGAGGGCCGCTTACAGAGTTTTGGCAAGCCATCAAGGGCCGCATGGGTAGCACCACCCCTTGATAGGTGCCCTGCCCCCTGGTCGCCATCTTGGGACCCTTAGTGCCACCTCCTAACCCCTGACCTTTGCCACCAGAAATCCCTCCCCTTGCCGCTCAAAGTACTCCTTTCAGCAAAGGGGTTTGCCATTTCAGAATCAGAAAAATACCAAACTGTTCTAAAAAAAATCAAAAACGTGTACTACAAAATTCATTAATTTCATTTCAAAAAATATTTTTGTCCTCATTTAAATGTGTATGTAGTGTACATAAAGGTGATAGTATCAGAGCTCAAAATGAAGTTCTTACTATTGTATATAGTGGGTAGGTGTGGGTTTTGTGGGGGGCTGTGTGCAGAGGGAGGGTGGCTGGGGAGGGTTATGGCTTGGGTGGAGGGGGAGGGTTTGCCCACAGTGCCCCCCTGCAGCAGGCAGAGGCCCCCCAGCACTTCTGCAGGCCCAGGTGCTGTGCTCCTGCTGCTCCTGCCCCCGGGCACTGGCACAGCCCTGTGCTTCCTCTTGCTGCCACTCCCCCATACCCACCATCTGCCACTGCTGCCCTTCTGCTGCTTCCCTGTCCCCTTGCCCCCCCACACTCACTGCTCCAACGCCATGCCCCAGCTGTTCCTGCCATCCCCGGCACTGCAGCTGGGCTGGAGGAGAGGAGGGAGAAGGGGAGTGGGGAAATGGCTGTGGTGGGCAAGGGAAGGGGCAGCGAGCAGTCGCATGGAGCACAGCAACAGCCAGGCAAGAGCGTGAGGCCAGGCTGGCAGGGCTCTATGGAGCTCGGCTGCACTGTACCAGGAGGGAGGCAGGGAAGCCGGGCTTGGGTGGAGGCAGAGGGTGTGCCCACAGCCTGCCCCCCACACGGCAAGCAGAGCCCCCACCAGCACTCCTGCAAGCCCGGGCACCGCTAGCTGCTCCTGATGTCCCCAGAGCTGAATCCCTGCCTCACCCCGCACACTGGGATTGGGCACCTGATTCAGCACACAAGTCCCAGGTCTCTCCACAGGTCCTGAAATTTGGCAGTGGGCAAGCAGTGCCACCATTCTTCTACCACCAAATTTCAGGATTCATAGAGAGCCCTAAAGAGGACTGTGGGCCAGATTTTGCCCACAGGCCAGCAGTCAAGCACCTCAGTCTATAACTATTAGATTTGTGTTAAGAAATACATGTTTCACCTTTGAGAGGAGAGAGAGATGAATCTTTTTAAGGATTTTATCCATTTCCTGCAGCTTTGGTCCCACCAAAGGGCTGTTGGGTCCGCTAATATGACCAATATGGTCCAATCCCAGGTAATGAAGTATTAGTATATCCCAGTCTTCTCTTTTTAACACTGTATCCAAATGCCTGGTAACATTATTGTCGACCTTAGGGATGAAAGCACAAATATTTTTCATAATCATTTCTCCCTTCTACTAGGAAGTAAGGAAATGTGAAAAAGAATCATTACATTCAAGTCTGACAGAAATTAGAGAAAGGTATAGGGTGCTTGCCAGTTCAAAGAAAAAGATAGATTATTTAGGCCCCAGCACAGATTTAGTATTTATGGTTGATTAACAAAAAATTAAGTGTCACATGTTCAGCCAATTTATGGTGTCAGAGTGGCAAACCAGCTACAAAGATATTCCACAAAAAACGTGTAACATCTCTGTAGCTGGTTAGTATGGCACCATAAACCAAGTATGTGGCATGCCCTCGTTCCGATTCTATCAGGAGCTGATTGTCAGCATTGGCACTGGGACCAGGGTTGCCACAGGGACTGGGACAGCCACCTTCCCAATGTTGAAAATGGGCTGCTAGGTGAGCGGGAAGCAAGATTCCTGGTGAGAAGAGCCACGAGGCTTTCTACAACTGAGCCCACTGTATGCCTTGCCACACAGCTCCTGCAGGAGCTGCGAGGCAAGCCACATTAAAATGCTGGGTTGCAGTAAGCCCCAGAGACTCAATCTATATTAATAGGCTTTTTTTTAAAGTTGGCTTGTATTAAAGTTAAGAGCAGATTGGACTGTTTAAAAATTCCACAAAGTAACAGTGTCTCACCAAAAGTGTTATGGGGAAGTCACATAAGTATTAAGGACAGTTATTCACATGCCCTTTGCCCTTGTTGCCTTATTACCATCATCCAAGCACCTTCCACATTCAAAATAAATAAATAAATAAAATCAATGGAAGAACAGAAGTCCCTAGTCTCATATCACAAACCCCATTTGAGAATAGTCTGCTCCAATCCAGTACTAAATGCCTTACAAAAGAAAGGCAACATTTCTCTAAGGAAAACATTCAGTAGATGTCTACTGAATATTTGTGTTCTCACTACATAGCTTGAATTTATAAAAAGCCACTCACCTCTGTAAAATCTGACACAAAAAATGACGTAGTTCCATCATATTCTACAAAATGCTTTGGAAACAGCTTAACCCAAGTGTCATCCCCATAAAAGATTATTCTTTTTCCAGCTGTTTTTGCCTGCCATATAAGATTGTCTTCCAGGAGCGCTGGAGAATTAAGGTTCATGATAATATCAATGAAACCTGGTAGGCTACCAGTCATCAGGGCCTGCAAAAAACATAACAAAAGCATGAAAGTATTTGATGTTTGGCTGAAAAAATGTAGTACCCTACCTGACATTAATTAGTAGCATTTGCTTTACGGGAAAGTCCAAGAAATCACATAATGAATAATTATGTAATAGCCTGCCCACAGGAGAAAGCCCAGGAGAAAAGCCAGTTGTGCCTAAACCTTCACTGGTATACTATAGCCTGTTATAGTTTTATCCTTATCTGATGCAACTAGGTCAGGGGCAGGCAATTATTTGGCTCAAAGACCACTTAAGGAGTTTTGGTGACCTGTTGCGGGCCAGGTCAGCACCACTAACACTCCTGCCCGCCCCGCCCCCTCCCAGCCCAACAACAGCTCACCAAAGCTCCCTAAGTGGCCCCTGTGAGCTTGTTGTGCTCAACCAGGCAGATAGGATGGGGCCACAGGTGGACAGGGAGTAGTATCCAGGAGGCAGATGGGTAGGTGGGGAGCAGCATTCAGAGGGCGTGGGCAGGTGGGGCTGGGGGTGAGATCACAGGGCAGTGACAGTGCAGAGTCATAGGCCAGGACCTGGGGCAGAATCGCTATCCAGTCCCCATACAATGAATCCTAATCGGCTTGACCCAGGAGGGGGACAGAGTGTACGTCTGTGACCCACACCCCCATGCCAGAATAGGTGGATGCAGGCAGCACCAGTACAGCACAGCTGTGGAGCAGTGCACCCCAGCAGCACGGGGCAGCCTCAACAGATTGCGACCAGATTAGGCTGCCCCATGGTGTCGGGCAACACTACACTGCAGCCATAGGTGTATATTCTACCCATTTATGGGTCAGGTTGGTCATGATCCATTGGGCAGGAAGCAGATTGCAGTTCTACCCCAAGCTCAGCACCACACTGTCACCACCTCAGGATCTCAATCCCGGCCCCAGCCACTGCTCCCTGTCTCCATAGGGACCCTGCCCCACCTGCTCCATCTGGTGCCTCGGCAGTAGATACGAGGCAAACAGGCCAGGGTGTATGCATACTCCACCAGCAGTGGGGCCAGGTCTGGAGGCAGTGGTGGCAACACTGGCAGCAGCAGCCAGAAGGAGCCGCTGCCACCAGGGCTGCTGGGAAATGGAATCCAGTTGCCATACTACTCCAGCCCCACTGTGCACCCAGGGACAGTGGGACCAGCCCAATGTGCCATGGACTAATCTGCCCCCCAAGCCTGGGCCAGGCAGGGCTGAGGGACCTGCCATGAGCTGGATAAAATCCCTTGGCGGGTCAGATCTGGCCCAATGGCCATATTTTGTCCACCCCTGAACTCAATGCTACACTTTATAGTGGCAACCAAAGATTCCCAATGTAAGCGATTTTGGTAACATACCATGTATTAAGCATGTATTTGTAGGGGCCTACTGCAATCACGATTTTGCAGTTTTTGTGGAAAACATTGAATCAGGTGTTTTCTGTAAAAATAGCGAGCTCTGTGATTGTGGTGGGCTTGCAGAAGGAAAAAACAACAAAAACAAAAAATTTACCAGCAGCAAAAAGGGCAGGAAGCCCTGCAGTACTGAAGTACTGGGGGTGGGGGGTAGAAAGGGGTGGGGAGAGGGAGCAAATCACAGGCTGAACCTGTGACACAGACTCAGTCCAGGAGCCAGGGCCAATCAGGGAAACAGCCCAAGAAGCAGAGATAAAGACTAAGAAATCCTTCAAGACATACAAATACATTTCAGCTCTGGACCATGTAAGGCAGTATCCTGCACGGTCCCTGCATGCAGACGGAGGCAGACTATTCTGTACCACCTTCAATGCAACTATGGATGTGTTAAAGAAAACCAGTATAGATGGACACCTAGAGTCCGAGGTGCACATGAAACAAAAGGCTGTTACAGAGGCTGAAAGTCAGAGGAAGAAACAAATGACCGTGTCCTTGCTGTGTAAAGGACCACAGAAAACAGCTTGGCAAAGCAAAAGACAGTATTTTCCCTCTTGGAGGCTTTCACAGTGGTAAACATTCTGCTGGAGAAATCTGATCACCCAAAGTTAAGGGACTACCTGAAACAAAATGTGCCAAATGCTGGCAGTGTTCCAGGTTGCAAACAAGCTTTACCAAGACTCTCTCTCTCTCTAGTGACTCCTTCACATGTACAGTTCACAAAGACTGCATTGGCACTGTATGGCTCCTCCTCTGCAGCCGATGAAGGCACCAGCTCTCAAGATAATTATGTGCTGCAACTTTTATTTGTACCTGTGAGCTGGACAGACCAGGACCTGTCTGTTTTTTAAAGAGAGGCAGTCCACCTGATGTTTGTCAATTTTTCTACTGTCTCAAGTCATCATGAAGGCAATTGTCAAGTATGGCTTAAAATTTAACAAGATCTCAGCTTTCCTGTCTAACACCACCATGTACATGTGAACAGCTCTCTGATGTGCTCCAAGTAATGCTGCTCAATGCAGTTCACGTCACTTGCAATATGCACATTCCGTCTTTAGTAAGTGACATTTGTCACACGCAGTTCCCTGATGTGGAGAGCCTGGTGTCCTCCTTCAGGAAAGCCTTCAAGCCATAAGGTCTGGTACACAGAGTCCCTCACCACATGTGGGGACTAACATGCCACTGTGTTGCTGCCACCACAACCCATGCTCACACGGTGGAACTTGTGGTTCAGTGCAGTCCATTACCACGCACAGCGTATGTAGTACTACCAGCAGTTTGTGAGCAAGGAGCTGGAAATCATACCAAGCACACAGTGCATGTTTAAGCTTTGCGATCTCCTGGAACAGGGAGACATTTGTGGCAGAAAATGTCACCCAGTTCATGGAGCTTCTAATGTAGCTTGAAGGCTGACAGGCTGTGATCGACCAAGCACACAAGCTGATGGATTTGATAAGCTGGGTTGAAGACATGGCATCAACAAGAACTGTCACACTGTCCTTCTGAAAACTAGCAGAGAAGGAACCTGTTCCAGGGAACAGCTGCAAAACTGAATCAGTACTGTAGGCATGGCCTGTCTAAACCTCTGTGATAGTGACAACTGGCTGCCTCTTTCCTTAGTGCTGTTCACATTTTGGACCCCAACCAAGTGCCTGTTCTAAAGTTGTGACCCTCAGCTACTGAAATCAATCCCCGGATGGCAGAAGGATGACAACGAACATGCTGCTTACAAGAACTTTGTCAAAGAGTGCCGAATACCTGTACCTATGCCTGTGTTTTGGGCTGTGACTGGTTTCCACATTTGTATGCCTTGGCAAAATGCTGCCTCATCAATCCTGTGAACTCAGTAAATGGTGAGCGTGCCATCTCAGTGTGTAGGCAAATGTTCATCCAGCAGAGACAGAGGATGTCAGCAGTTACTGTCAGTGGATGCTGCATGCTAGCATTTCACAGCATGAACTGCTTGTCTCAAGGTTAGCATTGAGTAAATTCCTTTTTATAACACCCTTTAATAAAGTACTGTCATGGTATTAGTTACAATTCATGTTGTGTATAGCTTTAATTTCATAAGACGTTTCAGTTTAGAGTTTAATTAAATGCTTAGATTGCTTGATAATGTTTCCATTAATGGCTTTTGCAGGCTTAATCCCCCAATTAAGCCCATGGAAGTCATTAATGGTAAGCAATTAAGCCACAGTTCCAGGCCATCTGCCAATCTTGAGGGAGGGATGGGACCCTTGGCCAAACAGAGGCATGTGGGGAGAAGGGGCCCGCCATGACATGCCCGTGAAAGTGGCAGCCGGCACTGCGATCTGCCCATGAGATCAGCCAGCTGCCTACTCTTTGACAAGACTCCTACATATTTGTATACCCTCAAAGGTGGCAACAGAAGCTTAGAATAGCAATGTACTATCTACTAAATACTAAAATCAGCTCCAACAATCACAATCTCTCTCAAGCAAATTTCAAGCAATCACAATTGTCAAAGAGAGGATGGGAGAGAGGATGAGAGAGAGAAACGTGTATACAAACTTGTCTATTTTCCCTGACTATTCCCATATGTGAACACTTGTTCCAGAATAAGAGCATCTTAGCAAGGTGGAATAAGTTATGGAGACAAGGCTCTCTTATGAATGAGCATTAGTGAAGACAAGACCCAAGAAAATACATAGTAGGAGAAGCAAAGACATTCGTAAATGGCAGCCTACAGGCAGGCTAAAGTGAGGGAGATTAAGCATTGGAACAGGTTACCTAGACACTGCAGCTTTTCAGAGCAGGTTAGACAAACACTTAGTTTGGATGCTTAAGCAACGATATTCCTGCCTCGATCAAGCTATTGTATTAGATGACCTCCAGAGGGCCCTTCCAGCCTTGTTTTCCCATAATTCTACAGAAATTCCAAAACCCTCACCCAAGATTTCAGTATTGAGACACAATATTAGTTATAAGCCAAACTTTTTTATTACACATCTCTACCATTCTGAGAACTTTCACTGTAAAACAGTGGTTGTTTCTCACACACACCTCTGTGCAATAATAAAGAGATTACATTTGGACTGGAAGAGCTTGGATCTTTATTAGACATGCTCCATGTTCTATGCTGCTGCTTGCAGCCATGAGGTCCAGTGTGTGCTTGCAACCACTGAAAAATTTTCTAAACACATGGAGCTTGCTGGTGTCACCCTCCAAATCATCCCCACTACAACTCGTGTTCCAACCTGCAGGAACCTCAAGGTTGTTACAGCAGTATACATTTTGCAATATACACTTGGTTTATATGGCATATCTCTTTTATGCTGCTATGTCATATGGACAGAAGCAAAAGGGTATATTAATATAAAGTGTGTGCATGCACATGCGTGCGTGCGCACACATACACATGCGCGTATATTTTTTAAGTATGCACACACATGCTTGTGGTTGCATTTCATAGGATAAATCAGCAAGTCATATTTAAATCATATACAGCTTTACCAAAAATAAAAATTCTTAAAATTCTACCAGCTCTGGGTTTCCTTTTTGTTACACTGTGTCAATACTGACAAGTCATGCTTTACAGCTAGAAGGAATGTAAGATTTTTCTTTTTAATTTACCCTCTGATATTATAAGAATAATATATGTGGAGACCCTAATCTCACAGCTGCCATAAAATTTCAGGACAAGGGATTTCAGCAGTCCAGCTGATAAAGCAACCTGAGAGGTCACTTCTTAGTTACATCCCTGCTCATGTAATATTTATTCTGTTGAATTCAACATTTCTGCTTTAGAAGACAAAACTTCCACATTGCATAAATCCCTGTTATGCAACCAAAATGGTTAAAATGTCTCTCTAACATTACTATTCAAAGAACTCAATTTCAAAAGTCAGTTAAGGTTGCTAAGTGACTACAGAGGAATTTCTTACTGCATTTAAAAAAAACCTCAAGCACTTAAGAGCAAAGAAATGAATAGGTAAGGACACATCTTATACTGCCTATGTAAATACACTTCTATCAAAGAAAAAGTATTTATCTTCTTGTATCAGCCTTGAACTTACTTACAGATATCAGTACTTTTCTTTAACGGCACTCTGATAAACATATTTAATCAGTTTCTAAGATTTACATAACAGTCAAAGATGTTTAGTAAAATATGCAAAATGTTTAAAGGAATAATGACAATAATGATAATAACAGTGGTAATAACATTGATATTAACAATAAATAACAATAATAATAACAGTAATAATAATAATGACAGTGATTATTGTTGTCTAGAATAGCAATTGTTCCATTATTGTGTAAGTGCAATTGTCTAGAATAGCACCAAGGTCTCAAAGGCTGCACTGTGACTTGCACTTAGACAGAAATAAAACACCATTGTGTTCAACCTCCTGTCCATATAATTATCATGGTCTTCATTCAGACCATCTAAGGAGATAATCAGCCAGACTTGCACATAGGATCAAATCTTGAAGTAAAGAGCAAACCTAGAAGTGAATGTCCACTGCATCCAGCACATACTCTTGACTAGTTGAGGGTTCTGCCATGCTACAGAACCAATGTACAACTAGGCCACATCCACACAAGTGTTGATGTTTGTTTCCCTGGGGACAAGAAGCAGCAGAACACCTTGTGCCACTGCTACTTGTCCCCCGGGAATGCCAGTGCCACACAAATTCTTGCCAGGTTATCCCAGGTGGAATAGAAGAGGTTCAAGTCAGCAACTGTGTTGGCCCCAGCAGCCTTACTTGGGGTCCTGGGGACCAGGAAAGCTGTAGCCACAGCACTCCTGCAGCTGGCAACCTGCCAGCAGCTGGCATGTGGCTCCAGCTGGCTAGGCTGTGGTTTTGGGCGGCACATGCTGCCACAATATGCGCCATCCTGCTTTTTCTGCACGGGTTTTTTTGACCCCAGGATCTCCTAGGGTCATACCCCTCCCCTCCCCATGTTACAAGGAAGCAGCACAGAGAATGCCTGAATGTGGTGCATGGTACCACAGATGGGTCTGCAGCATCACATACCACATGGCTGCGCTCATCCGGACACAGCCCTAGGTGTGTTGCTTTACCACTTATCTAGTTTCAATCTGTCAAAGCCTAAATACTAAAATCAGCTCCAACAATCATAATCCCTCTCAAACAATTTAAAGCTATTTAACTGCATGCAAAGCTTGACATGGGAATGACCAGCTACTTGTACAAAGGAGACTAATGGCAATGAAGACCACTAAATCAAGCCTTAAGATACTTGATCCCTTTGGCCTGCTTACTAATTTTGGCCAAGTTATTTCAGTTCTGTGCTTCAATGTCCTCTCTCTACAAAATGGGGAAAGTGACACTTTCTTACTACATAAAATACTCAGATTAATTACCAGGAAGTCCAAGCTTAAATAATACCTTTAAACTGTCATCCACAGTTTCATATTTTAATGGTATTTTAATTTCCGCTAAAAACGTTAAAGAGACATTCCTTTACCAATGTAAATCTGGAGTTTAGGCCAAACCAGGTTTCTCAGCTGAACTTACAAAGATGGGCTAAAATATGCTTCTAAGACAGAAACTGTTCAAGCAATTCTGGAGAGGCTTGAGAAATGATCACCTCAATAAATATGATTTTGCAGATCTTACACTCTCTCATACAACTTTTCAATTGTGGAGCCAATACGTAAAGATTTACTATATTGGTTTCTTACTTCAGGAGTGGTAGCCACTGCCATTTCTCCTTCCATTCTGTCTCCCTAGTCTCATAACTGCCCCCTCTACCTTCATTTGCAACTTTCCCTCTCCAACAGGAAGGAGAAATGGGCAGGAAGGTAGGAACTCTATGCCCCATTTTCCTGTCACCCTTCACTACTCCACCAAAAACTGTTCCTACTCCAAATCGATTACAGTACAGCAGAAATGCTCTTTAACTTAAAGGAATAGGACTATGCAACTCCCCAGCATTGTCACTTTTGAAAAGAAAAAGGAGGATCCCTCCAGAGCAGCAAAACCTATGACAACACCAGCCCAAATATCTCCAAAAGAGGTGGATCACCTCTTTGTTCTTCTCACCTCCTGTAAGTGTATAGAGTAGGGGGGAAAATGTCAAATTATTTTGGCTCCTTTTCTAGGTAGGACAACAAATATAGCTTGTGAATAACCTTAAGCAAGCCCAAATCAAAACTGAAACATTTACCTTAATTCGAGGCATGGTCACAGTGGGTGGCTTTGCTTCAGCTATGAAACTGTGGGACGTTCCTTTATCAACAAGCTGTGTAACATATGGCATGAACTGTTTACCTTTTGATCCAAACACAAAATCATCTCTCAGAGCATCTATCAAAACTATGACAGCTTTTTTGAAGAGTGGTGGTGGAATCTTGGTCCAATTAGAAGAGACTCCTAACAAAATGTAAAAATAAAATGAGTAAAGCACCCATGCCAATTAAATAACAACATTGTAATTCTGAGTTAAGGCTGAATAAGTGTCTGGCATCTACAACCAAAATAAGCAGTACTCTCATTAGCCTCAAAGGGGCAAAGAAAATTTACAATCTAGGCTAGGGGTGGGCAAAGTCTGGCCAGCAGCCAGACTCCATTTCGCACCCACATGGCTGGGCCCGGTCTCCATGGAGACCTGTCGCAGCTGCACAGTGATAGCACAAAGCTGGGGTTGCCGTGGAGACTGGCCCCAGCCACGCGGGCAGGGCAGGGCAGGGCAGGGCAGGGGGCTGCTCTAGAGCCGCTGGGATCTTGCGGTGGGTGCAGCTTGGTCCAGGGCCAGGGCAGAGTCCCAATCTGCAGTCTACGTGCTGCAGGTGTGCAGGCAGCAGATCACTGCATGCATCTTTGACATCTTTGCCTTACAACTACCAGCCAAGGAAAGTGAGCAAAATGGGAAAGAAGTAGCAGAAGGCCTCTATATTCTCAATTGTAGAATTGGGAAGAGAGAGGATGGAAAAAGGAAAATCAATAAGCTAGGAGACTTAGAAAATGGAACAATGGGCATGGATAAAGTTAAGTAGTTAGCAACCTTACAAGGATGGCAGATAAGCAAAAGGAGGATGGAGAAGAGCACAGAACACCCAACTGATTAATTTTACAGAAAGTGATGTAGTATTCAGCTGCACAAACATCTGATTGCGCTTCAGATGCCTAATCCAACATTTCTCACCCAGTGGGTCACAACCTCCAGGGCAGATCACAAAGAACGGACAATTTCACTAGTCTGACAACCAAAAACTCACTTCTTTGCACGCCAACATCTAACATTCTGTCAGCCTCTTGATACACATCAGCATTATGTAAGATTATCATTGATACATTTTATTCCTTTATAAAAAATATAACAGGCAGCCACAAAAATATAAGTTTGAATAAGGGGTTGCCAGCTTGAAAAGATTAAAACTGCTGGTCAGGGGAGACTTTAATGAACTAGTAAGCACACCAGCCAAGTTCCAAATACACCTGGACATCCAACTAGGAAAATTCTTCGCTCTTTAGTAGAATTCCTAAAACTTAGGCAACTAGGGGTGCACTGATAGAGATTTTGGAGGCCAATACCAATATTTAAGGAGGCATATTGACTGATGTCGATCCAATTTCTGATGCAGCTGCATGCAGCTGGTAAGCCCATTGTGGTGGAAGGGAAGGGTTGTGGGGACGGTGGGCAGATCAACGACCCTCGCAGTGAGGGAAGTAGGAAGGGCAGGGGCAGGCACTGCCCAGCCGGTGCAGGGTAGGGGATGGAGTCGTGGCTTGTTGGGGGGGAGGGGGCAGGCAGTTCCCACCACTGCTTGCACGCTGGGTAGGTACAGGGGAGGCATGTGCCCCCGAATCCGCAGGGGGCAGGGCGGTCGGGTGGGCTGCAGCTGGGGCTGCGCCAGGCGCGCAGTGGTGGCAGCACTGGGAGTGTGGCTACAGGGAAATTTGGGGTGTCTGCAGCCCCCTCCATAGACCCTGCCCAGAGTCCAGACCCCACCAACAAAAGCTGAGTGCAGCCCCAGCTCCAGCCCATCCCTCACAGATCTGGGAGCACACCCCTCACTACACCCTCCCACGGTACAAGCTGCGGCAAGAGCCTCCCCTGACCCCAACAAGCTACGGCTACAGCTCTGTCCCGCACACCACCGAGGCAGTGCCTGCCCTTGCCCCCTCCCTCACCACGGCGAGGCATTGGATCTGCCCCCACATACACCCTTTCCCTCCTCCTCCCCTTCCACCACAACACACTTAGCAGCTGCACACAGCTCTCCACACTGCCAGCTCTGCTCCCCACTCCCTGAGTGCTGCACTGTAGCTGCACGCAAGCACGAGCATTTATCAGAAAATAATTGGCTGCATCAGGCCAATTTCCGATACAGCCAATTTTCTTCATATTAGTAGCAATCCAATATCGGACCGATGCATCAGTCCACCTCTATAAGCAACATCTGTACTTATAAGTAGCATAGATCTGAAGTTAAAAAGCCAAACTCCATTTTTTCACAATCTAAATTTCCAGACAAGTACAGATATTTGACAATGAATGTTCTCACTCTGATTGTAACCAAGGCAAGGATGTCCTGTGTTTAGGTTTGTCTGATAGTTTATCCCTACCCACCTTGCCTAGGGCAAAAGATTTTTCTTAAAGCCAGTGGGATCCAGGCCACTCTCTCCAATCTGCAATTCTCCACTACCAGGATCCCACAGCACCCTGAAGTGCCCTGAGATCATTTCAAGGGTTTCGTGGGGTGCCACACAATGTTTAGCACTTTTAGATTTGCAAGCATAATTTACAAGATAAACCTGGAGATTTCAAACAGAAATCCATAGCTGTGGTCTTTTCAAGTTCTCTGCAATAGAAAAAGTGCCCTATTATTGTTACGTTGCCCAAAAAAAAAAAAAAATCTCTCAGAGCTGGCATTTTTCAAGGTGTCCTCAAGTCTATCCAGAAATGCCGAGTCTAAAAAGGTTGAGAACCACTGGCCTAAGGTCGCACTACTGCACCGATGTCCACTGCTAGGAACAGTAAATAGAAAATATTTTATCCGAGGTGAGCCCTCTAGTGACTCTCAACTGTTCCATGTTTTCGAAGGGACATACAGAAAGACCATGTATATGTAACCAAACCTTACAGCTTGAAGATATTTAAAAAACACAGCTATTTGGTATTCTACTTTCTGCTGCTGTTTTATGTAGAAATAAATACATTTCTACATAAATAAATAAATAAACAAACAAACAAACAAAATGTCCTGCTTCTGTCACATTGTAAAGGTTTAATACCAAAGAGGTACAGGAATTTTAAAAAGTACTAAATACATCTCATTCATTTCTACAGCTAAAAGGTGGTATAACCTGAGTCAAGGTTCACAGAATCAAAAATCAGGAAGGAAAGACCAGTAACAGCATCTATAAGCTCCTATCAGTGCAGTACTGTTCACAAGAGCATGTTAAAATTTAGGCCAGTTTTAGATGTCCCAAGCAACAGGGTTTCTAACCCTAGCCTTGGGAGATTATATCCCAGGCCTTCAGAGAATGTAAAGCAGAGATCCAGTCTAAATGTATTCCTTCTTAGTGTCATCCCATTTCTTCTAGTTTTACTTCTGTACCACCTCAATTTTATTGCTGTACCGTATGTAAAAAAGGTAGTCTGATGTACTGCATGTTTTAAGCTCTTCATCCTCTCACTTCTATCAGTCTCTCCAGGCTCCTGATTCTTTGTTACTCTTTGCAAATTTTTAGTAGCTTCCCATGATGTTCTATGCATTTTTACATCAGAGCACTACATAGGACTACCTATGAAATTTCTTAACATTTCAGTCCTCTTGAGCTTCAAAATGCATTGACCTTCGGCAGCAATAAGAAAATATGTATTCACATCTAATCTGACATTTATTACCAGCCCCCAGGTCTTTTTCACAATGAATGCTTTGCTGAATTCAGGCCATTAAGTCACTAAGCAGCAGCAAGGAAGGGAGACTGAGTTATTTGAAGCATATGGTATTGCCTAAGCCTGCACCAGTACACATAACTTGGTATACTTTAGAAGTCATAACCAATAGCAGCGGGACCAAAGGAGAAAAGTAGACCGACTACAGCTTTCCATGAGCAGGTTAGTAAGGATAAGGTCTCCTGATCAAGCACCAGAAGATTCCATTTGTGTACTAACAAAATATTGCTAATTGTAACAAATCACTGTACAGTAGCTTCAAATCAGAAATTCCTGTCATCTCAAAGAACATTTGAAACAAAGCCTAATGATTCTGGTGCTATTCTGCTAGAATCTAGGCTAATGGCAAATTCAAGATAGCTATGTAACAATTAACACTCTAAAAACTCTTCACAAGCCAGAAGCAAAGATTTGAATCTTAGGAGAATAATTTAAATTAAAAAAATATATCAGGATCTGGGCAGGCCTGATTCCAGGAATATCAAACATTACTCCATTAGTGTATCTTGCAGTGTAACTGAACTTAAAGGAAATCAAATGCTTTTATAGCAGTCTTGTCCCTTGCTACTGAATGTTTTCTTACACTGACACTCTAAGGTGGCATTAGGTGCTCCTGCATGCATCACAGCGATTCCATTTAGAGCAATAGTCAAAAAGCATCAAATAGCCCATTATTTCTAAGAGCTATTCAGCATGAGTATGAACTCTTAATAAATGAACAGGTGATGATCATCCTCCCATCCACATCTGATGCCATAAGCTGCTGAAACTTCCTACTAGACCATATGAATGTGCTGCTGGCCACGTGATACAGAAACTTCACTTGGGACAGACTAAAGCAGCAATTAGGATTCTTAATAGCTTGAGCTTCCAGGTGACTTGATGTTCCTCACAGAGCCTTGAACTGTCTTGGTATCCATCCCAAAAATAACTGCTAGCCTCTGAGAGGTCTTGTGCAGAGAGTCATTTGGGAGACTGTTCTACGCAGCCCTCTGACAAGGAAAGACACTGAGGCTTCTAGGCGCTCTGGCAAATTACGGACAACAACCTGCTCTGAAGCTCTGGCACTCAACCATCCAACTAGTCCCGGATTGGGGACTGACCTAGTGCCAAGCCTCCAGAATAACACTGTCCCCTTGTCAGATCCAGACAGGGAGCAGCTTGACACCTACTGCCTGATCCGCAAACAATGAATCAGTGGGGCACACTCTTAAGCTGCTGCCTGGACTCGACACGCCAGCGCTTGCTAAAGCAGGTTTTAAAGGCGACACAAGCTGGGGGCCTAGTGCCAGACCTTCAGACTTGACTTGGGTTGAAACCGAGGCTGGAAAGGGGCCTAGGAAGACTGGAATGAGACCAGTGCAGACCAGGTCACGCTGCCAGTCAGTCCCGCCCTGCGCCGCCCTATGCCAGGGACCGAAAGGGAGAGGACAGTGGGTCGGACCAGGCTCTCCCCAAGCGAGACCTGCCCTGCGCCGCGGCAGGGGCAGAAAGAGGTCAAGTCTCCTCCGGGCCTCGGGCCACAGCCACACGGGGACCCTGCCAGCACCCCGGGGAAGCGGAGGGGAGCGGGCGGCGGCCCAGCGCACCTGCCCCAAGAGGAGGCGCCCGGTTACCTGCGCCAGGCGGGGCCGGGG